TTAAGGAATCATCTAAAAAGTATGATCCTTTTCTACCCATGTTGGCTACACAGTTTATGGAGACTTTGAATTATTTGAACTCAAATTTGTCCCCAAATCGGTGCTCAATACTACTCCCAAATATTATGTTTAAAAACATAACTCTTTCTGTGGTTTGAGATTATTACTCAAAAACTAGCTCAAAAGCTCTCTTGGAAATCGGTGTTTCCTCTCTTGAAAATCAGTGTTTCCTCTCTTGTTTAAATATGAAAACATTTTAACTCTTGGGAATACTTAGTTCCCATATAATCTTTTGAAGTATTGAACTTCACTCTTGCTCTTACTCAACTCAATGCTCAAGTCTTTAAAACAAGTTTTAAAGGATTTGCAAAAGACTTTTGAAAAAAAAGACTCTAAGAACTCTCTACACTTGACTCTTAACTCTACCTTGAATTTGAATTATGAATTCAAGATTATGATTTGTGATAGGAAAGATATCATGATGATTAGGAGTGCTTTTAGATAGTTAAACACGAGAAACGATAAAGAAATCACTGTCTGGAAGCAAGTCCGCGACACAGAGATGTATTTTATTATTTGGTCGCGAAATACATTTTGAGACAGAGGAGTCCGCGACCTCTCCACGACGCGGAGAAAATTTCTGTGAAAGGGGGGGAGCAGGTCCACGACGCGGACTTGGTTGCCAGTTTCGCCCGACTTTTTCCTTCTTCGTTTTCTAACCCCAATTCACTTAAATTTGATTCTTTTTCTCAATTTCTCTTTAGATTTAGTTACCCAGTACATGTACACAATAATCTACTCCTAAACGACTCTAAAATCAACATGATTCCATCAAGAACTCAACAATCCCATCAAATCTCAAGAACGAAATCCAATTTCAAGAACACAATTCAAGATAATCAAACTTTCAACTTTCTATAACGAATTTCGATGTACTAAACATGATTAGCGCGCGGGTGAACAAACCCAACTATATGAAAGTCTCACATACCTCTTAGGATCGAATCCTTGGTGAATTCCTCAACCAAAATCACAAGAACTTGACGAATCTTGACCTTTTCTCCTCTTTTCTCCTCTCGGGTTCTTTCTCTAAAAACCCTAGCGTGAAATTTGAGTGCGTAAACTAAACCAATTCAGTTTAGATCCCAAATAAACTACTAAAAATGGATTTAATTAATTGGGTAATGAAAATACCAAAATACCCTTCTAAGATCTGGTTGACTTTCCTTATCCAGACAGCCTGACTTCAAACAGATATATCTCCCTCATACGAACTCGAAAATTAGCAAACTCAGTGGCATTGGAAAGATAATTGAAAGACCTTTCATTTGATATCTTGTAGCCCACCAAACCCATCTTGTACAAGAGTTATGGTCATTCGAAATGGATCCAAAACTCATACTTAACATACTTGCCAAATTTCAGATTTTTTTAACTCTTTCCAAAAATGGTTCTTTCTAATTCTAGCTCTTTCAAATAGCGGGGTGTTACAATATCTCTCCCTTGGGAAAATTCGTCCTCGAATGAGATTACTCTTAGTAGGCTAAGGGTGTAACACCTAACATCCAGCTCAAACACCCAACAAGCAAAATCTAAACACAACAAGTCAGCTTAAAGCAAATGCAAAGAAAAGTATTAGTACCTTAATTTGGAATTTCTCTGGACTCGAAGAGACGTGGGTACCTCTTATTCATGTCCTCATCAGCTTCCCAAGTAGCTTCCTCAACAAACTGATTTCTCCATAGAACTTTGACTGATGTTACTTCCTTGGTTCTCAACTTACGAACTTGATGATATAGAATCTGAACAGGAATCTCCTCATAAGATAGTCTATCATTGATACCGATATTTTCAGTAGGAATAATAAGGTAAGTATCACCCATACACTTCTTCAACATGGAAATATGAAATACTAGATGGACCGCTGCCAACTCTTGGGATAGCTCTAACTCATAAGCTACGTTGCAAATCCTATTGGATATCCTATAAGGGCCAATATACCGGAGACTAAGCTTTCCCTTCTTACCAAATCTCATAACTCCCTTCATGGGTCAAACCTTTAAATACACCCAATCATTTACATCAAACTCTAAGTCTCTTCTCTTAACATTTGTATAGGATTTTTGATGACTCTGCGCTGTTTTCAATCTCTCTTGAATAACCTTCACTTTTTCCATAGCTTGGTGCACTAATTCTAGTCCTATCAATCCAGCTTCACCAACTTCAAACCATCCAATAGGAGATCTACATCGCCTCCCATAAAGAGCCTCATAAGGAGCCATTTGGATGCTAGAGTGGTAACTATTGTTATAAGCAAACTCAATGAGAGGTAGGTGATCATCCCAATTACCCTTGAAATCAATCACACAAGACCTCAACATATATTCTAAAGTCTGAATAGTGCGCTCTGCTTGACCATAAATCTGAGGATGAAAAGCAGTACTCAAGTTCACTTTTAAACCCAAACCTTTCTGGAATGACTTCCAGAATTGTGTAGTAAATTGTGCACCTCTATTTGATATAATCGACACTGGAAATCCATGAAGTCTAACTACCTCTTGAAGATATAACTTAGCATAATACTCTGTTGAATGGGTAGTCTTTAACGGCAAAAAGTGGGTTGATTTAGTCATTCGATCTATAATCACCCAAATAGAATCATGCTGTCTCCGGGACCATGGTAAACCTGTGATGAAATCCATATAAATCATCTCCCACTTCCATTCCATAAGATCTATTTTCTGAGCCATACCACCGGGCCTCTAGTGCTCTACTTTAACTTGTTGGCAATTTGGACACGTAGCAACAAACTCTGCAATGCCCTTCTTAATACTACTCCACCAATAAACCTCTCTCAAATCACGATACATGTTTGTGGAACCCGGATGGATAGAATATCTGGAGCTATTAGCTTTCTCCTTGATCCTCTCTTGAAGTTCATCCACCCTTGGCACACACAACCTACCTTGATACCAAAATACACCATCTCCCCCTTGTTCAAAAGCCACCACATTTTGCTTATGAACATTTGCCTTCAATTCAAGCAAAATAGGATCTTGGTTTTGCTTTTCTTTAACTTCGGACACTAATGATGATTCAGCCTCATTCATCACCACCACTCCTCCTTCACTGGCATCCATTAAATGATCTCCTAATCGTGCAAGTCTATGCACATCTTTTGCTAACTCTTTCTTGTATTCCTCAAAATGGGCAGTACTACCCATAGACAACCTGCTCAAGGCATCAACAACAATATTAACCTTACCTAGGTGATAGAGAATACTTATATCATAATCCTTGAGTAACTCTAACCACCTTCTTTGTCGGAGATTAAGCTCTTTATGACTAAACACATACTGAAGGCTCTTATGATCGGTGAACACATCTACATGAACACCATAAAAGTAACTGCGCCATATTTTCAAAGTAAATACTACAACAACTAACTCTAGATCATGGGTTGGGTAATTCTTCTCATGAACCTTAAGATGTCTGGAAGCATAAGCTATAACTTTACCATTATGCATCAATACACAGCCCAATCCAACTCTGGACGCATCACAATATATCACAAAACCTTGCGCACCCTCTGTAAGGTCAATATTGGGGCAGTAGTCAACCTTTTTTCCAATTCCTGGAAATTTTTCTCACAAGCTTCTGACCATTAAAACTTAATTGTTTTTTGAGTCAACTTAGTCAAAGGAGATGAAATAGATGAGAACCCCTCGACTAACCTTCTATAATATCCAGCCCCAACTCCAAGAAACTCCTAATATCAGTTGGAGATGTGGGTCTAGGCCAATTCTGCACTGCCTCTATTTTTTTAGTATCAACCTAAATTTCATCACCGGAAATAATGTGACCTAAGAATGCCACAGACTCAAGCCAGAACTCACACCTAGAGAATTTGGCATATAACTCATTATTCTTTAGAGCTTGGAGAATTACTCTGAGATGACTAACATGATCTTCCTCATTCTTTGAATACCTTAGGATGTAATCAATGAATACGATAACAAAAATATCTAAATAAGGCTTGAATACTCTGTTCATAAGGTCCATGAATATTGCAGGAGCATTGGTCAAACCAAAGAACATAACTACGAACTCATAGTGACCATAGCGGGTCCTGAAAGCTGTCTTAGGAATATCACTTTCTCGTACTCTCAACTGATGATAGCCAGATCTGAGGTCTATCTTAGAAAAACAAGTGGCACCGTGAAGTTGATTGAAAATATTATCAATTCTCGAAAGAGGATACTTATTCTTGATAGTAACCTTGTTCAACTGATGGTAATCTATGCACATTCTAAGAGAACCATCTTTCTTCTTCATGAATAAGACCGGAGCTCCCCAAGGTGAGGCACTTGGTGGAATAAATCCTTGTTCTATGAGATCTTTCAACTCCTATTTTAACTCTTTCAACTCTCCTGGTGCCATTCTATATGGCGGAATGGAGATAGGACAAGTATCGGGAATAATATCAATACCGAAGTCTAGTTCTCTCTCAGGAGGGACTCCGGGAAGATCATTTGAAAAGACCTTTGGAAACTCATTAACAACTGAAACTGACTGAATAAGTGGTGTCTTAACACTAAAGTCATTAACTCAGACTAAGTTATAGACACAACCCTTGGAAACTAACTTTCTCGCATAAGGTATGAAATAAAATGACCCTTAGGCACTACTCAACTACTCCTCCACTCAAAACTGGCTCATTAGGAAACTGAAACTTGACTACTCGAGTTCTACAATCGACTGAGGCATAACAGGCATGAAGTAAGTCCATACCTAGAATGACATCAAAATCTACCATATATAACTCAACTAAGTCAACCATGGTGCTCTTGTGATTAATGGAAATGGTACAATCACGATAGACTCTCTTAGCTAGAATAGACTCACCAATAGGTGTAGAAACACTGAAGGGCTCAAGAAGTTGCTCGGAAGAACATCAAAATTCATTGCAACATATGGAGTCACAAAATATAGACTCACTCCTAGATCTAGAAAAGCATAAACATAAAAAAGAAAGACTTTAATCATACCAGTGACAACATCTGGAGAGTTCTCTTGCTCTTGGCGACTAGTGATAGCATAAAGACGATTTCCTCCTCCACCTGCCCCTGAAGTAGCTCCTCTAGATGTAGCTCTTTCTGGTGGAGCAACTGAAGAAGATTGGGCTCTATTACCCCCATTAACATTTCCTTGTCTGCTCTTAGGACACTCTTTCATAAGGTGACCATTCTGACCACACTTAAAGAAACCAATGCAGCCATCACGACACACCCCTGAGTGGGTCCTACCACACTTAGCGCATACAAGAATCCCATTACCTCCTTGTGCAACACTACCTTGATACAGTGCAGGTCTAGCACTGAAATGCTGTGAATTCTGACTATTGTACTCACCTTTGTTCCTTGGTGCAGGTGCACTAGCAGATGATGGAACAGGTCCATTTTTCTTTTGTTGGAAAGATGACCGGTTGGCATTACTCTTCTGCTGCCCGAACTCATTCCCTGTTTTTGCTTTCTTGTTTCTAAACTCCTCTCTATCCCTCAGCTTATCCTCCTCAACCTGTTGCACCTGGATCATCATCCTTGATATGTCCATATCCCCTATCAGCATAGTTGCCTTGCCTTCCTTGCTTAACAAACGAGACAACCCAACAATGAATAAACTCATCCTGCTCCTCATGTTAGCAACCATCTCCATAGCATAGCGGGAAAGTTGGGTGAACTTCAGACTGTACTCATGAACACTCATAGATTCCTGCTTAAGATTAAGGAATTCTCGTACCTTTGCTTCTCAGTTCATGGGGAAAGAAACACCCCAAGAAGGCCTCCTCAAACATAGCCCAGCTCACAAGTGGTGCACCCTCAGCCCTGTTCTTTTTCCATTGATCAAACCAAATTCTAGCGACAACCTTCAATTGGTATGAAGCTAGTTTAACTCTCTTAGCATCACTAACATGCATAATTTCAAAAACCTTTTGAAGCTCTTCAATAATGTTTTTCGTATCCTCATGATGCTTGAACCAGTGAAGCTTGGAGGATTCATCCTTAGGAACTCGTGGATCCTTGAAGTATCAGCCACTTCCTGACGATTCTCTCTTTGTTGCCCAACTTGGTTGGTGTCAACTTCGCTCAACATCCGGATAACCTCATGGAACTCAGCATTGGTGACCTCTCCTTGGGGTTGCAGTTTAGGCAAATTAGGTACCTCTTGTTCCTCAACATTCCTTCTAGCCGGACGACCTCTAACAACTCTTCGTGGAGGCATGATTTGAAAGACACGCGCAAGCACGAGTTAGATAGAGACTTTTATAGAGATACAATCTATCGCACGAGATGAGTATGAAATAAGTGATATAGTTCCTAAATGTTGCAGCGTCCTAATTATAGATGTAACGCGCTTCACATCGATAACCATGACTCTACAGACACGGCTTCATAGACTCTCTAGGACTCTAGAATTTACACCATTGCTTCAACAATATTGATAGGAGTGACCACCTTATATTCTTGATCCATATGCGGCACAACAGAATTTACCCCTGAAATCACCTTTGTATCCACCCTTTGTTCATCAAAAAAATCCATAACAGTTGTACTCACATAACTACTTCAAGAACAATTAGCAGAATATTTTTCGGCCATCATTTTTATAGCACAAATACAATAATCTCTAAAATTAAAGTTTTTCAACTTTCTAAGAATAGCTTCAAAAAAAACATATTCCTTCATGAGCCACTTGCCATCATCAGGACAACACATCTTAGTATCATAATAGAGACTCTTCTTGCGTCCCATATTCAAAGGCTTGCTCTGTTTACTCCTAACCCATTTCCTCTTATCTTGTTGTTTCCAAGTCCCTAGATTTTTACCCACAACCAGGCTTCATGTTGAACCTTCAGGGCTGCTAGTTTTTATTTTTTTATTTTCAAAATCAGACACCCTTCTATTCAAAATACTTTGAGTTCTCAGAATATCAACTTCTCCCTTTTTAAACATCATCTTTTCCACTTAACCCTTTTACTTGGTGGACCTGGTCCCTCTTCACACTTAGAAAAATCTTCATCAAAAAATTCTCCAGTAAGAACAAAAGGTTTAACTATTTGAAGTGTTTTTGAGAGTGGAGAAAAAAGGGTTTTAGAAATTTCAGATTTTGGAAAGGGATTTGAAAAGAAATATGGAGTATAAAGGAAGTGAAAGGGTGTATTATGTGAAAGAAAGTGTAATTTTGGTATTCAAAAGATGGGACAACGGTCAAATACCAGAATGATAGACATGTGGCAATTGTAGCGGTTCTCATGCATAATTCAAAATGTAATGTTAAGAGTGCTAACCTTCGAGAACGGACCGGTTCCTTCTCTGTAGTGTGAATGTTATTGCCTTGATCTGTCCTGACCTCCCTTTACCTTCAGGGTTTTTCCATGTGTGTATACCTACAAAGGGTATGAGACTGAACTTGCTAAACCATACATAACTGAAAAACAAGGATACCTGCTGCCTTTGCATAGTCATGAGAGGGTTGACTGCTTCAGGAAGGATCCATTAAATCAAGTTTCAGCATTCCCAACTTCAGTTTGATTATCTCGGTCAGGTCTTCTAAGAGCTTCAAGTTGCTGCTTGATCCACAAAAGTTGGGCACATCAAGCTACACTTGCTACATTCTCTGACTCAGTTGTTGAAAGAGCAACTGATTCTTGCCTTTTAGTTCCCCATGAGTGAGAGATCAGCCTATAGCATAAGCCACTCCTAAGGTACTCTTTCCATGAACTTGATACCCAGCATAATAAACATCACTATGTCCTCTAAATCAAAAAGTCTCCCGATAGACAGAGTAGAACCGGCTCCTCTGTCTTCTTCAAATGTCTCAAGATTTTCTTAGCAGCCTTCAAATGTGATTCTTTTGTGCAAGAATGAAATCTCAGAACCAGGTTCATCAACATCCAGCTTCAAGTTAGTGCCCCTAGAAGTATGAATTGTCTAGGCATCCATAATATGTAACCTTTTCAGCAGCTTCTCTGAGCTGGTACCAGGTCCCTGTCTTTGCAAAACTTCATGATGACATTGCCCCTTTTTAACATTGTCCTGACTTCAAGTACTTTTAGCCTTTTGAGCAGCTCCTTGATGAGCTTTTCTTGACAAACAAGGGTACCTTTGGAAGTTTGCTGGATTGACAGCACCAAGAAGAAATTAATTCTTCCATTATGCTCACTTCAAAACTCGCTATTCATGAGTGCAACAAACTCTTCACACCACCTCAAAGGTTTCTTTAATGATGACATCCTCGTTATGTACTTGAATAATCAGCAACTCCCTACCTTGTGATTTTAAAAAGAGGATTTTGTCAATTTTACCTCTTTTGAAACCATTTTTTAGAGTAACTTGGACAACCTGTCAGGTTATCTAGAAATCAAGTGTCATACTTTGCTTCTTTCAAACTGATCTTGATCAGCTTCTTCATTCTCAACTCCGGAATTCACATTATCAGTTTGAACTGCAACATCTTTGTTTAGAAACATCTACCGGACCGGGTCCTTCATCAGCTTCTTTATCTGCATCAGCTTCCTTGGGATTGATGGATTCATGAAGAGGATATGCTTCAGCAAGCTCATTGGTTAGACCATCTCTCTAAATTTGAAGCAGCTCGTCCATCTCAGAATCTTCTTTATTTTGCAACTTCTCAGTTCTTTCGCACTCATCAAAAATCACATGAGCACCTTTTTCAATGCACACTTTTTTATACACCAGATGAGTCTTGCTGGAGGAAGAGTATCCCACAAAAATACTCTTTCATCATTATTGGGATCAAACTTCCCAATTTCATCCTTTTGGTCACAAAACGTGTAGTATTCACCACTTCAACCCAAAGGTTCTTTGAAAGATTAAACCCCTTCTTATTCCACCTGGAGGATGGTCTGATCTGCTTCTTTTTAACACAAACATCACAAACTTTGTCATCTGCAAATTTCATTTGGGCAGACCGTGGACCAGTTCCCTTAACACGAGTTTGCTTAGAGAGAAAAGGCTCAACTGACCAAGTCTCATGTATCATAGATCAGTATTCTTACCTTGAGCTTCAAGGGAAGTGGGAATGTTACAATGAGAAGTGTTTAGATCAGCAGTACATGTTCTTGCATATTCTTCCTGTCAGCATCATCATCCGAGAGATAAAGTTGTGACCACACATTTATCTAATAGGAACTTGACTTCATTTATTTTATCACAAATCTGTGAAACTTTAGAAGAATGTACTTCAACCCATGACATAGTACACATCTTCAAAAGAATGTTCCACAGAATTTCAAGTACTGCCTACACAAAAAATGTACCATTTCTTGCAATTGCCACAAGAGACACCTCTACATTGAAGTGCCTTAAGAGAGAGGAAGTTTTTAGTTTTCCTAGTCACGTGCTTTGAGCATTCGCTATTCATGAACCATCACTGACTGTTACTACTTCCTCTCAATTGCATAGGAAATCACTTGTTAGCCTTGGGAACTCATTTGACACAGAGTTCCCAATAAGCAGATAACAGAGTGATAAGAAAATCTTTTGTCCAGTGAGACAGACTGGTTTTCTTCAACTTAGGACCATAAGCACGACCGGGTCCCTTCTTTAGTCTATTCCTCTATTTGGAATAGTTTGACGGACTTCCTTCATATTTTTTCAAACAGATACTCTCTCTTAAGATATCCATCTCGACCATAATGCACACACAGCAAATCATCAGCATTGGAAACAAATTTGTTGTGAGGATTGTATGGGGAATCTATCTTCTCACAGTCCAGCCCTCTTCTACTGTTGTTGCCTTGACCAATTAGATTTGTAAGTATCTTAGAGAAATTGGTCCATTTGAGGGATTTTTCAAGTTCCTCTTTTGCATGGACCAGGTCCCTCTCCAACTCAAGATTTCTTTCTAAAGCCAACTTTATCTTCATTTCAACAGTGTGCAACTTATTTTAAAGCTCCATCTGCAAGTTGCTTGCTACGTTCTTTCCTTTAAAAATTGTATTAGTTACCCCTTTTATCTTTTCCTTGAGTTCAAGATTTTCGGCTTCTAGAACAACCATTTGATTTTCAATATCAGATATTTGGGCAACTAAATCATTTTTTCCATCTTGAGAGATGTCTAGACTATAGTTCACGAGATCATTCGCAGTTGTTAGATCACTTATCAAATCAATTAGTACAACAGCTAGATTTATCAATTTACTGGTAGAAAAAGTATTGAAGTTTTACTTGAAGTATGATAGGGTTACCTTTTCATTAGCATCATTTGCATCTAACTTTGCCATGAAAGCATCATTAGAGTGCTCAGAATCATCTGAATCACTTGAGGAGTTTTCCCATGCAGCCATATCCTTCTTCACTGCCTGGAAAAAGGCTTCTATTCTGCTTGGCTTGTCACGGACCTGGTCCCCCTCTTTGTCTTTACTTTCTCCAGACTTAACATATTCTTCGTGGTCAACTTTGTGCATAGAGCAGTCTCTAATGGAGTGACCTGGTTGATCATACTTGTAACCCATATTACTAGAGCTTGTAGCACAGTTGTGATTTTCTTTCTTCATGTAACCTCCACGTTCTGTCAAGATTTTTTGAAATCCTTGAGTGCTATAGCCCATATTCTTATTTATTTCAGGGGTTTCATTTTGTGACACTTTGGAAGCAAGTGATTCATCGGCAATAGTCAGATTTGTCCTCTTG